TATTTTTTCTATTTGATCGATTTCCCTCGATCCGTGCTTTGCTCGAAGGAAGCAATTTCTTAACAATTACAGTCTTAGATTGGTAACGGACCAACGAATGTGATGTCTTGATTACTGAGAATGCAATAAAATCGCGGACCCATGGAAAGAGAATGGGGTGCGTTCTGCATAGAGGTACATGTTTTGCTGCACTGCTTAGCAGGTACCGTGGGTATATCGCATTTAAAAGCCCACTTTTTCGCGTGTGCTAATTAAAACTTATTATTTCAAATGATTTTCCGTGATTTGCAAACCATTCAAACATAGCTAGGAACTTGTATTCGAGTGTTACTTGAATAAAATTGAGTGAGCCATAAATGCAATACAGCTCTGTTTTGGAACGGATATGCCCCCATACATTGCAGATTCAGATTAGTAATATTTTATTTTCTTAACTTTATAACTACGTTATACATCTCCGAAAGCAAAATATAGCATTTTTTCAAAATCATAAAGTTGATAAATGAATTGATCAAAACAATACTCCAAAGATTAGGTAGGTCTCGGTAATTGCTTTCCGGGGTTTCGCCATGCGTCAGTGCAGCTTTTATTGAACTTCCCAGGCAATATATCGGAGACTTCATTTCACCTGCAGTGTCACCGAGTACCAGGAAACGTATGGAGTTGACCAAAACGTTTACATAAGTGATAATCACGATGCGAACCAAGGAGACTCGAAACGCCTTTTTACATCAGGTCTTCTGTGAAAGTTGAAAGTACTTGTTACGGCTGATAAGTGTGTAAGGAATAAAGGCTTTTTAACACTTACAGTCATTGCCAAAAAGTTGCTGAAAGAAACTCTTATGAAATACCCAACCTTTGACGGCTTATTTCTGACGATTTCTGTTCTTTTCAAAAAGTCATCGAAGAGTAATACATGTTAGGTTGCTGTTAATAGAAATTTATACCCCCTTTACACTGGACGGCGTCCTTTCTGGCATTTGGCATCGCTGTGGTCTAAATAAGGAGACACGAGCATTGACTTTGTATCAAAATGAATGCTCAATGATCGGCCAGTTGTCGGCACGTAAAGTATTATAATTTTTTACCTCTCAAATGGGTCCGTACTGCTGAACGCAGAAAGGACGCCATCCAGTGTAAAGGGGCCCTTACATACCTTCACTTTCGTTTTTGGCAGCTTATTCTGATTATTTCTGTTCTTATCAATTGGGTCGTGATTATAAAAACAGTTATTTCGCTTGGACACAATAAACGGAACCCATATCAACTAAAACCATAGATGTGACGTTTAAAAGTGCACTTGAGGTAGTTATCAGTGATTTAATCGGGTCCATTTGTCAATTGGTAGTGGACGAGATGTCTCACTAAGTTATTTTCAAAATGTTGAAATATACACGATAGACAGTTATCCCGGTGGGAAAGAAATGGTTTTATCTGATTCAAACTGGATCTGGGTCTTCAAATAATTAATGAACGTTAATTGCCTTTACCGTCCCGAAGGTCTGCACTGGAGTGCTCTCTAGTCTGCCTGCGACAGTTGACAAACACATGAAGATGTTGATGAACTTTGTCACTCGAATAAAAAAGTTATAAACAGACAAGGAATTGGCCTCTGCCCAACTGTCGTCTGAAGCAGACTGTCCCACATACCACTTAAGACCATACACACAAGGATGGAATATGAAAGAAATTCTTTTACAAGCTATTAATGTTAATGTTAAATATACTTCAGCTAGATTAATTATTTTTAAATAACAAAAACAACATGACCCCAATTAATGTGTCATCGGAAAGTTCAGGAGAGAGAAAGGTAGATGCATAATAGGATAGCTGTTACCAAGACTCCTCCTTCAGTGCTTTTTCCAACTTGGATTTGATTGCAGAATACTGTTAACAGCTTCTGATGGGATGATCACTGACACTGTGGATTGTTAATGAGAATACATCTAAGGGTTGACGTCACTCTTACATATACAACACCCGCTCTGTATTCTAAGCGTTATTTCTAGTCACATTGTAAGTCTTTAATCAATGGATGGTGTTGAGTATTCATCACTCCAGTCTTCTGGATCCAGTGATAACTATTTAATATAGAAAAAATATTCAAAAGTAACGGTGTCTAGCAACTACAAAAATAAAACCCTCCCTTTTCCGACTTATACTGACTATGTAACATTTCGATCAAAATAGTTTTAATGCTATAAATCTCTTCAATATAATAGGACTAAAAAGAAAATATGTGAGTTTCGGCGATTGTATGGCGTTGGGACGTGTGAGGTTTCTCAAAACTGATATGTCAAATTTGCCAGAATGCTTAGCTACTTCTTAGACATTTGGATATGTTCAGCACTACAGTGGCGGGTCGGGGGCTGGGGGTGGGGGCACAGCGTGTACTCTTTTAGCTTATGAAGTAATCCTTCTCTCCCTTTCTCGAAAAAAACAGCGATACGAATCAATACCAGGTTATTTTGCAACTCCGTGCGTCAGACAAGAGCATCATATACTATAGTGCTGATATTGTCCTCTTCTATTGTTTTCACCCCCCCCTCCCCCATCAGTAAAATCCCTGGCTCGCCAGTCACTTAATGGCGATGGAGTCTCATTATGGTTATAATCGTTTAAAATACTTTATCGTGGATCCACTGCCTCACTATTTCAAAAGCAAATCAAATGATAAATGAATAGATAAGCCAACGAAATTGAATGTCAAAACGTCCCTGCAAATATGAATTGATTTGTGAATCTGTGGCAATCTATACAGAGAGATAGATGTATATTTCATCATCACCGATCGTCTTTTTTTAAAATTAAGTTACATAAATTTTAATTGAGAATACGGCAGATGATATTAAGCAGGTTCAGATTAATTTTCATTTAAGAAAAGGGTAAAAAAGGAGCGATGAATAAAAACGAATTAAAAAAAAAACGCAAAGGATTGGACTTAAAAGACGTGAGATATATGCATAGATAGTCAGGCAGTCTGCTAGGGTGAAAGAATTATATTAGAAAAAAGCGTAAGGAGACAATAGAGTGCAAGAGAACTGGGATAAATGGTCTAAGTTTATTTATTCTCAGTGTGATTTGCATGGAAATCAAATTGATCAAGCTATTATAAGTAACTTCAGGAAATGAATGATAAGACAATATGAAGACGGAGCGAAGGAAATTAGAAAGAAGGGCCATTTGCTAATAGAGCGGAAATTATCACCACCATCATAACAAGAGATATATCAGTTCCATCTATTAGAATAGCGGCTTGGTAATTGAATTTGAATTGAGAGAGTGAGAGAGGGAGGGAACAAAAAGGTTACAAAAGATTTTCTTTTACTCTGGAAAGCCGGTTGGATACTGCTATGGCTGCTAATTAACTAGTAAGATGGCGTCTGGTTTTCACATAATTTAATGATAGGAAGTGACTCCAAAGTCCAAAACCAATTAACCATAAAACAGAGTAAAAAAAATTTAACCATTGTTTTCATTAGAAAAACACTGAAGCTGGTATAAAATTTAATGTCCATACTCCTCTAGTAAACAAGACCAGACTTGATTCGTCATTTTCGCATAAAAATGAAATTTTGTTAAACTACTTTCTCTTTTTTCGTGTGAAAGCGAAAGATATAGAAATTTCTTTTCGTATAAAAATGACCTTATCCATTATGGCTGTATATCTTGTCATATCAATATTTCTGAGGTTTTAATCTAGGTCTCTATTTTTCAGTTGTGATTCTAATTTGTCATTCATTTTTCATCCATAATAAAGATGTTTATAAACTCTCTGATAACTTGCTGATTGAAATGTGAAGTATTTGAATAGAACATGAATACAACAGAACGCAATAACCCGGCCTTTAAACATGTACACACAATGGACAATAGAAGTGTCACCCTACTGAACCAATACTTTGGGGGAGATAAATGACTGTGGAATGATATGCTCCTGGTATAATTTTATTAATGTCAAATTTCACAAAAAAACTGTAGACCAGGCATTATAACTACTCAAGATCTGCCTACTTTGATTATTGATTACTTGATTATTATTTGAATACTCTGATTCAGGGGGTGACACTTCTATTGTCAATTGTGTGTACATTGCCACAGTATATCAATTGCAAAGAGGCAGCCGTATTTTAATATCTTGACCAGTGCTTTTTATAATTCTAACAATGGGTAAATAGATACACAGTATATTAATAAGAGAAATGGTCATTTATTATTCTTATATCATTTTTCGGTGGCCATTTTCATGAAATGTTATACACTATTGTACTGAATATAAGCCCCGTTATAATATCTTAATTTGATTTGATAATGGAGCTTCCATAGATATTTATGGAGGTTCAGCGTGACTGTCGGTCACGACAGTGCCTGTCGACTATTATACACTCACGGCAGTCGGTCACTTTGCAGGGGAGATTATTGACGCATCGCACGAGCCGGGGTTAATTTTATTGATATGGGCTTACAGGGTATGACCTGATTGGTTATATTTGAATGTGGTCACGCTTGCGGTCATGAAAGCGTCAGAAGAGGGATATTTTTAACACTGAAGACATTATAGCGTTGGATTGAGGACAAACTCTTTGTACCATCAGTTCTTTGATAGTTAATACTTCATGTTGTGTTTATAATTATTATTATGCTATCACATCACCTCTGGAAATCGTAAATGCATCATACATGTAGTACAATAGAACCAACTAAGAAAAATAGAAAGATAAGAGAACATGTAATTCGCCTGGAAGCTATAAGGTTTGTTGTACACACTATACTCCGCCTTATTAATTTTAAGCTCCGCGGTTGCCGTCACGGTTTATTCTCTCGTCAAGCTTACCGGTATTAATAACATTAATCACGCACCAAGCACTAAGAGACCATATCGCGTTCAAGTTCGTGTAGCTACAAAGTACAAATAGCAGGGACACGCTTTAAAATATTATTGAATAAAGATCTGGCAGCGACATTTATCTTAACCTATTCATCAATACTTTTTATTGTAGCTACAAGACTGGAGGTCAAAGTTCACTGTGCGATCAAACAAAGCGAGTGACCGATACACTACAGCAAGGACCGATTCAATAATACATGCTTCTGAAAAGAACAACTGATGTGGACCGGGTGTAGAATACACTGCAAGTGGTGGATTTGTACTATACACTCACCGGGAGTCGAGGGAAAAACCTTATGGGACACCAAATTCTCCATGCATAACACGCGGCTGTAAACAAACACCGCCAAGCACGCACCGGATTTAAACGAGGCAAGGACCACATGAAAACAGCATAGGGTTATCAGTGTGATAAACTGACCAAGACGGAGAACGCGGCACAGTCGCACCATCCATCTTTTATGAGAGATGAGCCCGAACAGAAATTAGATGACGTTAAGGAGCTGGAGCGGTGACAGGTATAATAACGGATTTGACCGATTGCAATCTGCCATTGTCGTGTCTCGAAGCAAACGACCAGACATGGCATCGACCGGTGGCTTGTGCTGCAGCGTATATCAGCGATCTCGCCGCGTGGTTTGACCAAGATAAAGGCAATGGGAAATAGGGGACATTTCAGTTTCATTAATTCACGTTGTTGTTGCACTGGAATTTTTTAACTTGTGTTAAAAACATATCGTTTGAAAGCAGTTAGTGACCCTAAGTGCTCCGATCCTACTGAAAACTATACACGCGCAACATGACGCGGAGAAAAACATGGCAAATTTACGAATGAAGCTACTATGGGAAGTATGGGCTATAGGGGCAGTGCTACTTTGTGCGCCTATTCCGGCCAGTGTAGGTCAGCAGAGGAAATTAATTTCAATCGACGGAGATGTGATTTTAGGGGCTCTATTCCCCGTCCACCGTCAACCTACCCAGAAGACCGCTTACACTCGTCAGTGTGGGGAGATATGGGAACAGTACGGGATGCACCGTATCGAGGCATTTCTTCTTACGTTGGATGCTATAAACAACGATACTACTTTACTACCGAACGTCACCTTGGGATGCGACATTCGCGATTCTTGCTGGTATCCGCCAGTGGCTCTTGAACAAAGCATAGACTTTATCAAAAACTCCATCTCCGCGAGCATAGAACCCCACGACGTTGAAAATATGACCCAAGAAGAGCACTGTGTCCACGAGGAATCCCCCAAACCCATCGCCGGACTCATCGGCCCAGGGTCCAGCACCGTCACAGTTCAAGTCCAGAACTTGCTACAGCTGTTTAATATTCCCCAGATAGGGTATGCAGCGACCAGTAAAGATTTAAGCGACAAATCTCTGTATAAATATTTTCTACGTGTTGTCCCTCCAGATAATTTACAGGCCAAAGCCATGCTGGACGTGGTGTTAAAGTTCAATTGGACATACATATCAACTGTGTATACTGAAGGTGAGTTTAATAACATAAATAAGTACGTACAGATTTTTGTGTGTGCGGTCAAATATACGTTTTCATTTACTTGTACTATTTATTACTTTCCCTTTGACATAAAAATCTATCGATCCGTAATGCCGGTCAGTCTACAAAGTCTAAGTCATGAAGTCATGTAGCCAGTCTATTATCATCCTCCTCCTCCTCCCCTCCCACCGTCGCCATCTCCCTCACCATCCTCCCTTCTTCTCTCTCTCTCTCTCTGTCTCTCTGAGTGCCCATGTGTTTTGTGTACTTATATTCGTCGTAAGATTTGGCTTTACATTTCATGAACACTGTTTATCCTAACACTCCAGTGTTGACAATCATCAGCCAGTCGTGAATGTGATGGCGATGCTGTGTCGTTGAAGTTATCGACACCTTTACTACCAGTACAAAATACCTTACCCAATACCCACATGTGATATCGGCGATACGCTACTCGGTACATTTTAACTCTGTGCAGGTGTATGTTCAAAGAAATTCACTTCGAAAACAATCTTGTTCGAACAAACGTTTTCTTGCAGACGTTTTGTTTTGTAAGCATTCTTGTCGTCCGTACTTTATGAACTTCTGAATCTTAAGTCGTTATTACTAGAGGCGTGATGTACATATATGTGTCCTGGTTATTCAAGAACAATCTCACACAAGCTAGACAATATGGTTTTAAATGACAAGGCGACATCAAATAACACACATATAAACTTCACTTCATTGTTTATTAATTATTTTCGGTCGTTCTAGACGAAGGCAGCTGTGCACTGTACGTCACAGCTTATTAAGAGACGGCGTTTACTTTCAGTGTGATATAGGGGATGGTAATAAGTGTAGGTGATAGAAGGTCGCACATGTTATAGAAAAATAATAGAAGCAGCCAAAGTGTCATTCCAGTAGAAAAATATATCATAAGCACACAATACTTTTTTGTTTACTATCACATAGAAATTAGCCGGAATGATTGCTCATTTACTGATGCGGAGAAGAGTACATAAAGCATAAATAAATTATTTTGCGCGTTTGCCCTCACATTTAAGTGCAGGTGAAACATGGACTTGCGCGTAACCTGCACGTCTAGTCCTATTCGACCAAGTTACGGATAAGATAGTTATAAGTTTCGATCCGGGAACATTGAGATTGCATAATTCAATATCTGTCTGATATCCCAGCAGCCAGGAGCTCTTATCACGTAAACCTGTCTCACTTCCTAGCTAGTCCAGGGGCCTGAGAATCAATTTCATTCTAGACTCTCTGTTATTGCTCTTAAAGAGAAGGATGTGGTTAGGAAAAGAGAGACATCCTGTAGATGATTGTGTAATAAGACGGAAAATTAAGAACTGTAAAGTAACTGTAAAGAACTGTAAAGTAACTGAAAAAACAATTATCAGAAAGCTGAGAAAGATTTAGAATAAAAGAATATGCATCAAAATCAACTATATTTATGCTAGAATTTCAAATCCTGATGGTGCGTTATGAGAGCGAGTTGGACTGGTTGTAGTAATCTGTCAATATCACTTGTTTACATGGCGCATTGTTAATATAGCCAGCCCGTATAAAGGCGAAGGTGGGCATTGGTTTACTTTAAATTTACCTATATCTTTATAATTGATATTTTTGCATATAGTAAACATAACTCAAGGTTTTAGGCAATGTAATAGACATTGGAATCATTTCCCCGAAAACAGTATAAAGCTTAAGGGTCACACTACTTGAAAAATCGAGGAAAAAGAAAGTCTAAACAGGTAAATTAAATACAAATAGTAATATGATATTGCAAGGGCTGTCGGTGCAACTAGCTCGAAGGTACCAAGATCATTTTATTTTCTTCAATTAATTGTCTGTCCTTTAATTAATTTATTTATTCATGTTACATGTATGTCACAAAAGTGAAATTCAAGGGACATGGAAATAAATATACAAATCCCTAAAAAAGTTATGAATTATATATTGATTTTTCGTTACAGTCTCAGGTTTTCAGGTAAGAAAAGAACTGGGTCAAATAATGACCACTGTTTATTGCTTGAATATACATACCCATATATTTTTAATCAAAAACGATGTTCAATACCTGAATGTACAGTATATAACTCTTCATCATCTTATAAATGTGTTTTTACATACAGCTCAATGATATTCCTAATTGCATCCCGTGTCATGAACGACAGAGTCCCCTGTGATTCGGGGTACGGTTCCATTGATTTGCCCTAGTTTTTGACCCGCTCACGTCACGCTAACCCTAACCTGTATGAATCTAATGTAGGGCGAAATCTATAACATGGACCCTCAGATTCTTTACACCGACATTTGCATGTTCACAAGATTGAATGGGTGCATAGGTGTTTTACCTCTTTTTGTTTTTTTCCCCTTAAAGTTGCCAGCAGCCCTTCTTAATGTACCGGAAACTTAGGGTTATTTAACCTTAGCGCGTTATTACTTGCTGTCATAAAATAAATGACCGAAGGAAACAGTTTGCTCTTAGTGCTACATTGCGAAAATCGATTCTGGAAGAGTTACTTTTACGGGGTCGAAGTTTTCTATCATTTTCTCTCTGTTTTATTACTTTTGTTTCCGTTTTAACCTTGAGCAATTATGATATGTGCCTACAGTGGAGCTTGTGATAATAGATTTTACCGCTGGGAATAAATTCACGTCAGACCCGAGGTGTTCTTCCTCTATACGTATCGCCAGCCTCGTACAAGTTGATGTTTAAAATCTTTTGCGATTCTCCGTCTTCAGTTGGTTTTCAAATGGTGCCTTAAATGTTGACAATTCGATACCTTATTCATCATACTTAGCAAAAATTGATCTGTCATTCTCAATATTCTCCAATTATTAGTAAATGAACCACAGTTTTCTGTATCAAACGACTCTCTCTCTCTTTCTTTCTCTCTCTCTCTCTCTCTCTCTCTCTCTCATTCTCATTTACGAGTTTTGTACGTGTTATAAACAACAAAATTGCTGTTGAATTAATCAGTGCTACAAATATGATACCATGTAGACGATACACTGGTTGATATAATTTAGAGCTCTAAACTTGCGTTGCATGTTTTCAAAAACAGTATTTTGTATCCAGTCTTCATTTGTAGGTGGGTTGTGTTATGGCACGTATCATAATTGTAAAAAAAGGTAAAAATCTAAAGTATAGGTAGAAAGCTTCTCGTCTTGCAGACACTGAAATATTTGGGGAAATACATCTGAGTTAAGCCACGGAAGAAATTGCTATTGTAACTTTATGTGTAAAGCATAGATGGTACACTTGTTGACTCTTGCATTTGCACAAGCAAACACGTGAAAGTTCCAGTGCAAACACACGTAGAAATGCACATATTAATTACATAACAAACCGTGATGATAACAACTACATTCACCGGTGGCTCGGTGCAGCCATACCACAATATTTACCGAAAGGTAAACCGGTCGTTTAAAAAGAACTGGGGCCATTGTAGTTACGTTTGTTATATTAGGAACGTTGAGATACGACCTGGGTGGACTGCGGCCATAGGAATTAATGCTTCATTGGCAGGGCATGAGGGGGTGGGGGTCAATGACGCGTTGTTTTTATTTATACAACGTGGCTTACGCAAGGAGCAAATACGTGTGAAACATCAATTTACAGATATTGCCTTGGTTTAATTAGACGCAGTGCATCAATAAGCTTTCTGGTGTCTGTTTTCTCTGTTTCATTTTAATAACAAGGCAGATTGTTGTAACAAACACACTGTTTGGTCATCTTTGATTTCTTATGTATATTTAAAAAATCATTCGAACAGAGAGCCTAGATACACGCGCCCGCTGAACTAAGTACAAACCTAACACGAACGCCTCACTGGAGGTGGTGCATAATGTATTAGATTATGGTCGAAATTAGACTGTATGCATGTGCTTGCATGTGACCTGTTTACCATACGTGCTCTTTTACGTGTAGGAACCAATGGTGTAATATCTGTATATTGTATCTCATTTAATATAGGCCCTTTTCACATAGGCCTACTTTATCGAACAGCCTTTACCGATACACTTTGAGAAATTGGGGTAAGAGAGGCAACCAACGGAATTTCCGCACTCGACACGACCAAATACATTATTGATTAAAATACACAGTAGAAAGCGCACTTGTTTAGAACTTGTAAAAGGGAGTTAATATATCTATTGCGTTTTTACGGTTTAGGGTCCCTCAAAGTGTACCGGTACATATTGTATCACCCAAGAATGCCGCTCGATATGAAAAGATCATGTAGTTACCGAGTTATTAATTAAGATATTTTATTGTAAAATAAAGTAGGTAAACATGTGTCGAACTCGCTTAAAAGTTATGATTTCCCTTGTCTGTATTTAGCCCCTTGATATGACCCTTTAACAGCGCTTTAAAGACAACTTCTAGGGATTTTGGCGATAAACGATACAAGTAATTTCCCCTGGGCCCTCAATACTAAAAAAAACTTACCGACTGTCCCTCTATCGAATTTCAAATTCAAAAATACCCGATGAGTATCTATTTCAAGACCACTTCTTTTTTTTCACTTGTTTTAAACAAATTGAATAGATACGTGGACGTGCATTCTTCGTTACCTATGCTCGCTTGAAAATGCAATTTTAAGAAAAGGGTAGTGATGGCATTTCTTGTCTTGCCTTTGGAAATGAGAACAGATTATCAAAGAAAAAGTAGGTGTTAAGGCAATGAAAATCCTGTTTACTGTTTCTGAGGTGATAACCTGGGTCAAAATAAGCAGGGAAGGCAAGGACAGCTATTGTTGCTGTTCTTTTTTTGAACCAGTGTCTAACAAAGAACACAAAACGTGTACTTGTTTATATTTGACATCTAAATGTTTCGGTACAATACCCACTGTTCTAACGTAGTGTTGTGTTTGTTTACAATAATAAAACATTGTTCAGTATACTCAGCAGTAATTGTTGGAAATTGTATTTTATTATGCATTGTCACAGTGGCGGTTTTACGGTCAGTGTTCCTATTATAAAAAAGA